TTCTAATGGAGTTTTTAACGAGGCTTGAGTAGAGAGAAAATAGTACATGATATATTTCAAAACATGTGTCATATTGAATTTTTCTAGTGTAGGTTTTAACGAGGCTTGAGTATGATATAGTAATGTCAAAAGGAGAAAGTAACAAATAAATATTTAAATAGGCAAACTCTAAAATCTTAAAGATTATGCCCTAAGGCTTATCACTTATGGTTGTATTCTTTTTCCCTTATATAAGTTTTTTTCCATTGAATTTTTCTGACATTATGGACATAGATTATGTAACGGTCATAATGGTCATAGATTTATGTTTATCATTATTGCCTTTCGTTACAAAATGTATATTCTTTACAAAATGTATATTAATAGAGTTGATTGTGTTTGTGACTTTGTGGATAATTGATAGCTATTAGTGTAGAATTAATATTTACTAAGTAATCAACTGTTTAAACTCTTAGGGGCGTTTGGTTTCCGGAATGTTAGATTACCTTAGGCAATGTTAGATTGCTGGGAATGTTAGATTACTGAGAATGTTAGATTTCTGTGTTTGGTTTAAAACTAAGATATGTAAATAAGACAACAGTAATAAGATAAATTGATTAAAAAAATACAAAGTCCAATATTAGTAATAAGACAAGGGAATGTGATATTACCTAAGAAATTGGAGGGTATCTCACATTCTCTTCCAATAGCTAAAAACTTAGGGCGGAGGTTATCTGACATTCGCTGGAAAAGTTACATAATTTGAACCAAACATAGGAATCTTATATTACCAAGCAAATATAATCTTGGTTATCTTATATAACTTGAACCAAACACCCCCTTACGGTTTAACTTGCAAATTTTATTATCATTTTTAAATCCAAAAAAAGTTTATGAATATAGTTGTTGGGCCTCGTAGGGCGTTTATTGGATTTTAGGCCTTTTACAGGTCAAGTAGAAGGTGGGCCTATGGGCTTCTAAACTGGGATTGCATGTAACTGATGTAAGTTAAAAATCCATACTATTCAGAGTTTCAAATAATAACGTGAGAAAAACTTACACTTGAATACTGATATTAGTATATGTTTATTAGCTTTTTTTGGGTTTGATTTGGTAAATTATAGATAACTTAGCTAGTTTATTTTGTTCATTATAGTTTTTTGTTGACTAAAATCACCAGACACATTATTTAAAACACGCCTCTAGGTAATGACTGGAACTTTCTATAAATTAAAATGATGGATATATTCTAAGTTGACTCAAACTGATCCAAGAGCACGGAGCAAGAACAGGGCTCTGGGGCGGTGCTACGTGCCCGAACTAGCCGTCTCGGTACGAGGTCGGCAGCCGACCCCGGCAACCGACCTCGACCGCGTTGCCTGGTCTCCAGGCTGGGCACCGTCAAAGCGGGGATAACCGCCACCCCCAATTCAGGGGGGCAGTTGGGAGGCCCACGACTTGTATAAAAGGCCCTCCCTCTGTCCGGTTAAGACACATTCTATCTTTCTTACACATTTTGTCCTAGCGAATCACTATAATAGCCTATTTACGGTATCTAATACAATATACGGTCTTCACGACCTTTACGACATCGTTTCGTCTATTTATTCATTTACTATTTATGTTCGTATCCGGGTTTAATAATTCGGATCACCCCGGGTTAATTAAATACATCATAAAATATATATACAAACCAAGAACCTTACAATCTAATGGCACCCGATTGCATTTTCACATGGAAGGTTGTGAGTTCGAAGCTAACATGTCGGTCATCCCAGATATCTAAGGGAAGAAAACTAAAGAAACCTTCTTCCAAACAGTTTAAGAAAAACCTTTTCCTTAAAAAACTGTTTCAATCCCACCAAACATGATATACATGTTGATATAGTTACGTTGCAGAATAGTTGATCTGATCATGAGTTTCATGTCGGTAACCATTAAATTAATCCTTGTTTCGATCAGCATCTCTTTGTTTTGCGATTTAGTATATAGTAGCAGCTCGTAGGGCAAATGCAATCAAAATGTGAAGTCAAGATCACGATGTTATGGACGAATTGATTAAGGTTGTCTACCGGAAAAGCCTACTTCAAGGAACAACAAAACCAAGAATGGAGACATTGAAAATTGAAGGACCAGATGATTGATACAACTACACTACTTTTTAGAGACAATGGAGGGTGATGTTGAGTTTACCATCAGTTCGTTATACCCAACTAACTACCCAACTTGACGCATTCTTCTATTCATTTAGTAACTTTTCCGGTCTCACTATAATATAGGCCATGTTTAGTAAATAACTGTTAGCTGTTAACTGATTTAGTTAATAAGTTAATTAGAGGTATAACTACTTGATAACATTAACAGATTGTAAAAAGGTGTTTGATAAATTAGCTGTTACTTGCTAGCTGTTTGATATAATTTCTTTTTTCAAAAAGCTAATTGAAAAAGTTATTTTGAGTAGCTTTTTGAATTTTAACATTTTGGAGTACAAAAAACTAATTAACCAAACACGTACATATATTAATTTTTAAACCAAGTCAAACAACTAATAGTGATCAAATAAGCCAAAATTGGCCTATAAGCTAACTCTTTTACCAAACAGGGCATATATATATATATATATATATATGGTTCATAATCAGGTGCAAACTGACCTTAACGTGCGAACTTCTAAAGGATTGCACCGCACTTACGTATTATAGGATTGCACCATAAGGTCCTCCAAACATGTTTCGGAGCCGTAGCGGTGCAATAATGTAGTAGTTGCAGTGCAATCCTTCAAAAGTTTGCAGTTCGCAGGTTAAAATTAATTCTCACCTGATTTTATATATAGCTTGTGAGGCAGATCAACGAGCCACGAGTCTAAAACATTTGAGCTCGAGCTTGCTCGATTACAAAACCAGCCGTCTCGAAGTTGACCGAGCTCAAATCCAACTCTAACCGAGTAACTCGCGAGCTGCTCGACTCATTTACACCGCTACTCGCAGGGCAAACCCTTATCTTCTCTCTGCTCTACTTTCTCTCTTTCAATCTTTCACCTCACAAAAACTCACCCAAAAGCTAAAAAAATTTACTATTATTATCACTCTAATTAAAAATTTCACAATAAGTGAGGTATCACATCAAACCTGCTTCTGGAATGCATGGTGTATCACTCTCCTAATAATATGAATATGCATTATATTGAGAAGAGATGGGGCACATGGATGGGACTACATGCCCCATGGCAAGTTTGGTTGGGGTCTATATATTATATGTTGTGACTTGTGGGCTTCAATGGCCGGTACTGACATGCATCATTGTCCCCTCATATACACCTTCTTCCATATCAATCCTCCATCTCTGCTCCCTTCTTTCCATTTCCATTGTGTCCCACCCTGCTACCTACTTAATTACTCTCAGCATTAGAATTATTCAAGAATATATTTTAAATATTTTCTGAATATCAAGATTTACCTGTTATGTAATGTTTGTGACTTCGTGTGGCATGGCTCACTTGGGGTTGACAAAATTCTAATTTTTTTTTTCAACTAAGAATTCGAAAATATTAAGGTCATTTACTGAACCCTCACCCTGTCTCACGAAGCTGTCTAGTTTTCATTCACTATATGTTAGTTCTATTTTTATTGGCACTCATTTTTGAAATTCAATCTTTTAGAAATATAACGTTATAAAATTAATTACGAATTCAAAAATGTTAGTTATTGATTTTTTAGACTTGATAATTTAAGTTGATATTATTCAGAATACTTTCAAATGTGTTGGATTATTTAATTTGTGAGAAATATCTATAATTTTTGCTTTCGAATTTAGTATATGCATAATGCATGTGAAATTTTAACATCCAATTATACACCAAAATTATATTTTGAATATAATATAATTAAAAATATTCCTCCAAAATTTAAAACCTAGTTAATAAGATTTTAAATTTTAATTTAGTATGAATAATATCTATCCTTAAGTGGGTGTCATATGTTAGTATAAGTAGATAGATGAAGAATAGAGAAAATATATGATAGAGAGTAAAGTAAGAGAATATAGTTATAGTGGGGACTAGATATATATACATATATGTATGTAAGTAGATAAGGGTGATTGTGGGGTAGGTATTAGGTAGTGGAAAGATCTAGAGTAAATAGATAGATAGATAGGTGGTGGTAAGAGTGACTAGGTAGGTGGTGGTAAGAGTATATATATATATATATATATATATATATATATATATATATATATAAGGTCAACCAATGGTTGTATATATATATATGAAGTAGAAATTCATAAAAAAATTTTAAGTACGTAACGAAAAATTGTTTAAGGTGTTTGTCTCACTACTATATCTTTATTGGTCGATCGGTATTTAGTGTTACTTCTCCACAAGTGATCATTGATAGGAGCAAAAGAATTTTGGAGGCCCGGCCTGCACGGGTTTAGCTCATTGGATCAATAGACCGTATTTGAAAAAAGAGATCAAGGTCAAATCTCGACAACCATAATGTGGGAATGGAATTATGCCCAACCTAAGCAGATCCCTGATATTTAGCCCTGTTTACTGAGTCATTTAGTCACCTTGATTTACAATCTTTATGAGAGAATGTTATTGACTTGATCGATGACCACAAAATTATAAATTTGACTCCTTATGTTTTAATTTCCGGGATAGACAATACAATCTAGCTACCACGCATAGACATGTAAAAATGAGACATGGACATGCATGTGCATGCACAAAACCCTAGAAAGGTGCATCAACAACAATAATAACAACAAGGAGTTATAGTCATAACATGCATTGACGTGCAAGCTTGTCTGGTTTCTCCTTCATGGGACCCAAAAGTGGAAGAAGAGGAGACATAGGGGAGGCCATCAACATATTCGGATTTGTTATCGTTGTCCGGCAACGTAAGAGCCTGCATGTTCTCCATCTGTAAACCCCCAAACTCATCAAACTCTGCATTCAATGCTTAATTGCCCTCCCCCTTTTCACCCTACTTATAAATAATAATCAAACACTGCAACATATATCGATCATCATCATCATAACATTGTATCGTTTAGTTGGTTGATGAATATAATGTCGTCTTTTGTGGCGTATCTCTTCCTGTGTTTTTCTCTCATGCATGCATGCAGTAGTGCCCGTCCACTTGGAATGTTTGATGATAATAAGGAAAATGGTCTGCTCATCTCTGCCAATTCCAAGGTGGTTCAATTCCAAACCTCTTACTTATTAGATGAATATGCATATATTCGCCTTCTTGTGTGACCCAATCAGTTATATATTGAAAATCTAAGCTGGTTTACCTAATTCTTTGCTGACTAGGGTCACAAGACGAACTAACTTTACCTCTAACGCCCGCACCTTTTAGGTAATGGCTGCTCGCCTTCTTAGTTTGAGCCGATCAGCTTAGCTATGTGAAACTTAAACTGGTTTATCTCATTGTAGTTTTTGGCCAACTAGATTTACAAGACGGACTTCACCCTGAATGCAACTTAGGGTAGCACGCAGTTGTAGGCTTTCTCATGAATCAAAGATGAATAGGCATATAAAGTAGTATAAACTAACCATAAATGAATTGGACAAGGAATAAATTAAAGGGTTTTTTGCAGGGTTCAAAGCTATCGATAATGGAGGAATTTAGCGTGGAAGAGAAGTTGCAGGTGGAAAATGGTGCAAGTATCAGTCTTGTCAATGGGGATGGTGCAGTTTCCATGGCTGAAACCATAGAGGCTTTCAAGAAGATTGATGATCAAGAAGATAAAGGTATCAAATTAAGTAATATTAATTATATTATATTATATGCTTGTTTTTTTGAAATAGGGTTTACCCATTTCACATTTTTGGATAGTAATTTTAAGTTTCTCTTGTAATCCAAAATAATGTTAATATTTGTCAATTACTACTCCATTCACCAGACTAGAACTAAAAATCTTACTTAGAACATATACGTATAGTATATATACTTATAATTCTTTTCTATGATACAGATCGATAATATCATATATTCATATACAATAATGTATAATATGATGGTTATACCTTAGACACCAATGTTGATAATATCCCATACAACAAAAAATAATACATAATTATACTAAATACTATCTTTCACCTTAATAAGCATTAAAACTACTAAATTCTAGGTCCTCTTTCCGCCTCTACCTTGTTAGGGTTTTATGAGTACGTATATACCATGATGTTTTATTACCAAAATAAAAAGATAAAATGATTAGCAAGTGATCGAGAGTATTGGGCAATATTTGTTAGGTTGAACTATTGTTTGGCCTATGCCATATAGCAAATAGATTTTTTTTGACAACCCATCAAAGTTAGTTTGAAATACCTATCATTTTTTGTGAGAGATTAAAATTTTTCATCACTAAGTAGCTTGTAACTCAATGGCACATCTGTAGCTCTGTATGGACAGATATACTAATATACGTTGTATAATAGAGTTAGTACTACTCAACAAAAAAAAGATTCATCACTTTCCTCACTGGGCTTCAGGTGGAAATGAGGTTGCGACGATTTCTCTTCAAGAATTTTTGCACGAAAAACTCAAAATCAAGGTAAACCCCTCTTTCAATTCCATGTAATACTTGCCCACAAAATGCGAAATTTATCGCCACTACATGCCTCACTCTCTAACCTGACAAGATGGTGGCTGGAGGGTATGGTAAATAACAGTAACTGAGTAACATCTTAGTGAGAGAACTAGTAACGAGTGTTCATAAAGAGCCACTACATTGGGTGTGACTCCGACACGTGAGAACATAGTATAGATTTACAAGATATAAACATATATTTTCATTGCAGGGATCACAGAAACGAGCACGTTCAACTTTAGAATCTCGGGCGACACAGAATTCAGAAGAAGATGTGACCACCACGGGAGACAATGACCCCGTGGCAGACGCCGTGGTTATGGACTATGCACAACCCCACCGCAAACCACCCATCCACAACAGATGATAATATTATCCCGGTAACGGTGAAATCATTTCTAAGGTGGTAACTTGTATCACTATTAATTCTGAAATATCACCTTTTTACTAGTAAGTTGAGCAATCAAGTCGTAGCTGGTACTGATGATAAAAATGTTGGTTGAGTGGCTGTCCTTCATATTACGTTGTTTGTATCAAATTAAATGTTATGTGAATGAACAAGAAAATGCATACGACGTTGGTGTCCTGTCCCCATTCCTCCATACTAAAATTCTCTGTCAGTGAAAACAGTCTATTGACATTCTACCTCATGTGCACACTATCAGATAATGATTGCGAATTTCTATTGTCACCAAAAAAAAAATTACAAACTCATGCTGAAAATGAGTGATTGAGTTGGTAGATCAGAACATAATTCTAGTCATAAGTTTGATTCATATCTACACCCTATCAATATAATTGAGCTTGTGGTTTATCTTTCATGTATGATTTGTGTGCTATTACATAGGAGCAAAATTTACGCAATGCACACCCTAGAGTAAGGGACTGCCGATTTCCCTCATCACTTAGAAAAAAAAATTACAAACCCATTTCATCATAAGCGTAGCAACTTGCTACAAGTTTCCTCGTTACTTAAAAAGAATTGTAAACTCATTATTCATAAGCAACTAATGCAACTATAAGATCAGAAATTGGGTAGGTCCCAGACAGCATCCAAATTAGTCTCGTAGTGTTAGGAATTCGTTGTATGTAAAAAAGAAAAGAAAAAAAAAAACTTTTAGCTATTGGATCAATGATTGGAGTATAAAAATGGTCACTACTAAGAAAAGTTAGAGACAAAATTAACTCATTTCGACAATTAGTGGATGAACTAAAGTGTCAACCCATAATTTAGAGACCAAAATTACAACTTTTTCCTAAAATGATGTCTCTATTTTGGACTAACAAGCACTTAAATGACCAATAGCTGTGATGATTCAAGAACTGAAAATATATCCAGGACAGAAATCCCATTTTCCAATTGGGATATATGAGCATGTTGGTTTCAATTCTTGCTTCTATAATTTGCTGAAAATAATGTTTCAGAGGCATCATATCATTGTACAGTAATCAACTACCACTGCAGTTAACGATGAAAGGTTTAACAGAGTCGATGAATTCTCGAGTCTTGATCCCCAGTTTAAGATCAACCTCTCCACCGCCTAGCCAGAAGAAGTCGGGTTTGAGCTTCGTAATAGCTTCATCCAAAATCACCTGCCAAAATCACATTAATCACAGCCTATATGGCCACAATTCCTACATCAAATGCTAATCGAATAACCAACTTTCCATTCCAGTTAAAGCTGGAATAGAATCAGAAGATTACTTACCGGAATGTCTGTTTTCATACCAATGCACGTTACAGCATTGTGTCCATAGCCCGTCAAACTTTGCGAGGTTTCCTCGGGAGCAAGCCTCACTGTCGAAATTCATATCCCCACATTTCAATCGTTAACGTAAGACTTTGTTATGGAAATGTTCAAGAGACGCTAACTTACTGTTAAACTTCTTTTTTGCTATCTTGCCATCGTTAAGTGTATACAGAAAGTTCTTCACTGCCTCAGCATTAAACCGTGCAGTATACTGCAATAAGAAAACGCAGGAGATTATCATTTATAATGTACTTATATACTCTCGGTAATGTTCAGAGTGGAAGCAACTATTAGAACTCGATACAACTCACCTGCACAACAACAAGATAATACTTTGAATTGTTGCGATCTTTACAATCAGTTACACTCGTTGGTGCTTGAGTATTTACCTGCATTCATTTTACGACCAGAAGGAAGAATGAAGTAGCGAGCAAATACCTAGCTTTGGATACAAGAACAGCTCTACAACAAATAAAATTAAAATGTCCTAACATTCTCTACGCTCATCAATGGTGCACAGATAAGCGCCATTTCTGTCTAATATGCTCACGAGCATGCCTAACACTATGCAGATACAGATATAGAGCACATAACAATCAGATACCTCAGATCCAATACGAGTCATGTTGGGTAAAATAGTTAGCCTATCAGCCAATTTTGGCTTATTTGACCACTATTAGTTGTTTGACTTGGTTAAACAATCAATATGAGTCTTTGATTAATTAGCTTTTTGTAACAAATTATTGCTCCAAAATGCTACTTTTCCATAAGCTTTTTGAGAAAGTCATTTTATATGTAATCAGCTAACAACTAACATCTAATTTACCAAACACTTTTCTACAATCAGCTAATTCTATCAACTAGTTAAACCCACTAACCCAATCAACTAACAGACATTTACCAAACACCCCATATGGCTTCATCAAAGAAAAACCTCTTATAGATAATAAAGCCATAAACTTTATTTTTTGGATGACAAGGGAAACTCGCAGCCACTACCCAAGGGTGTGGACAGGGTAAACCCTGCCCTATGATCATAGGGGCAAAGGACCACACGGAGGTAAATTAGCCTAAGTTGTTCATAGCTGACCGGCTCAAAACAAGAAGACCAATAGGCTGCTCCCGGGAGTCAAATTTGTAACTTGATGGTTACTAAGTGAACAGTCTGACCAACTTGGCTGGGATTGCGCCTACATCAAACATAGTCTCTTGACAATAAACTGTACAAGCTTACAAGGTGTGATGATGACTAACAAACTGAAACTCATATATAGTCTCTTGAAGATTGGCATGTTTGACAATAATATAGCATAAAGGTGAAGTCTTTAACCTACTAAGACTATACTACCTCACTGCATATGCTAAATGAAGAGTGAAGACATAATAATCTTTTTCCCCATTATTTACTAAATCACTTCTCTAAACTTTCAATACATTTAACCTAAACTACTGAATTTCTACTGGCTTAATTTTGACTTTCGTTCTTTGTCATCAAATCAAACTCTAGAATATGTAATTTATGCAGTCAGGTTCAGAAAAAAAAAAATGAAGGAATTGGTAATTTTATAAAGGAAGCTAGAAATGGAGGTACCAGAACGATGCTTTTGCAGAGGTGATCGATGGAAGCAGCACCCAGGGCGTCTCGGCGGGCTTCGAGAGGCCAGTCGTAATAGTCGGTTGCAACGCGCTTGAAGGCGAAGTCTCTGACGCCATTTTCCCGGAGGATGGTAGAGAGGCGGCCTTCAGTGGTGTCGGCGGCGGCGGAATCGTTGGGAGAGGTTATAGAGAGGTTTTGAGAGAAGGTTTCGGGTAGATGGGCGAGTTCGAGGTCGGATATTCGTCGGAGAATTCCGATCTGGACTCGCTCCAGCTCCGCCAATGCCTCCATTGATCCCACTTCAAGAGCTCTTTCTCTCTCGTCGGCAGCTTAAACGGCCGGCGGCTTTTGAGCTCTGGTTTTTCTTATACTACGTAAAAAATAAAAAAATAAACTATCTTATGGACTTTTGGTCAAAGGAAAGAGAAACCTTAGTTCATTGTAATGGGCTTCACCAATTGGGCTAAGTGAATTCATGTTTTCTTGGGTCAATTAGTGGGCTCATAGTGTTTTTTTTTTTTTTTTTTTTTTTTTTGAAAATGTGTATATGTTAAACACCTAATCAAGAATATAGTAGAATTTGCCCGTATGGACATTTTAACTGATCATAGAGGTGAAAATTAGAAAAAATGAAGGGTTCTAGCAACCTCTCTAGACTAGCCTCTGTGTGCTTCATGTTCAGTTGAGTTACCATGATTTACATCCTTCTGCCCTTTGTCCATGTATATAAAATTTATAATTTTGCCAAAGACCTTGTGAACGAACACTTTAGTAGGGCACTGACACAGATACTATAATTAAGTCAATAGTACTAAAAAAAATCATAATTTTCACATGAAAAATGTTTCGTATCCATTTATTATTTCTTCGTCATAGCTCACAATTCACAAAAGAAATAAATCGCTTTAGTACGAGAAGAATCGTGCACCACCCACCCGATCACTTTCACATGAAAAATGTTTCGTATCCATTTACTTTCTTCATAAATAAGTTGAAATGAACTATGAACTTCCCATTGAAAAGTAGATGTCAAAAGTACACAAGTTTGAAGGATTATTTGTTGGTGATTAGTATTCACCAACTCCGTACTGCGTTTGACACGGTAACACCAACTACAAGAAAATAAGTTAGTCTTATTAGAAAAATTGGATGACTTAAAAGATAAGTAGTCTTTGCCCCTGGTTTCTACAAATTAAAACATTAAACATATTGCCAGTATTATATATAGAGAGGGAGATTGGGAGACAAGAAAAGCAAATGCTTTGCTATAAGTGGGTTGTTATGAAATAAACTATAATTGTTGGTCATAAAGAAAGGATGAAACTACTATTACCTCGCCCACAGAAGTTATCGAATTACTTTTAGGTGGAATAAATAATTCCTATATTCTTTCAAAATATTATTGAATTCCTATGAAATCATTCCAAAGTTTTTAATGATTTTATATGCATAAACTTTTCATAATCCATTATCCATTTTGAGCAAATAATATATCAGTTTATCCATCTCAACTAGGAGAATCTAAATTCATTTTGATCCAACCCAAATTGAGAATGAACACACTTAAATAAATACCTTAAAATGCCAAATTTTTTAACAATCCCCACAAAAATAAAAATTGTTTAATTTGTTCTTAAGCACAACTCTTGTCTATTTTCGTTTTCTCATCCTAATTTCTCTCATATTTTTTGGTTTTGGATAACAATTAAAATTTACCGCTATTACTCGAGGGTCTAAATTAAGTATAACTATACTCTTGTGCAATAGCTCACGAACAACACAAGAAAAGTAAATCATAATAGAAAGACTTTATGTTGTGGATTAAACCAAGAAAGTGTTAAGAACAAACTAATGACTTTTGATATCTTAATCATATGCTTCAACCATGGTTTTACATGCATCATGCACGTGCGTAGCTAGAAAATAAAAGATTAATTAACCTCAAATTACGCACAAACAAGAAACCAGAGACTCGATCATGGTTTTACACTTCTGTCTCCTTTGAAATTCGATGGTCAATATTTTACATTTTTTTTTTCATTTTAAATGCTTTAGTTTTTGGGATATTTTGGTTTAGTTTTCTAATATTTAACTATTTTTTTTTTTTGAATGTTAATATTTAACTATTTTAATTTGCTTATAATATATACCTACTAGCTTTTTGGAAATGTGATTTACAATAAGCGTCAAATGTTATCACCTAATTATCAGATAGCAGCCCCTTGTTTCACCACAAAAGATCCAATAATATTTCATCCATCAATAATGTTGGTATTTGTGTGATATGCATGGATTCATATACGATTCAAACGAAAAGAGCTTAATTTTCTTTTAATATAATTTTAAATTTGGGAGAGCAATTTAAGTGTCAAGAAAATAATATATTGGTCTGCATGGGCAGTTCAGTTAGTCATAGGGGTGAATTGAGGAGAAAATATCCAGGATCGAGTCTAAGGGACAAAGTGCTGGCCAGATTAATTTTTTCAAAATTTGTTGTCCTATCTGTAAGAGACACTTTTAAGCTCGTACCATACTCAGACTAATCTCCATTCACACTAGCCCGACCCAATTAAGGAGCAAACTTTTAAGCTCGTACCATACTCAGACTAATCTCCATTCACACTAGCCTGGCCCAATTAAGGAGCAAAGTTTCACACCAGCACGGCCTAATTAAGGAGCAAACTTTTAAGCTCGTACCATACTCAGACTAATCTCCATTTACACTAGCCCGGGCCCAATTAAGGAGCAAAGTTTCACACCAGCTCGACCCAATTAAGGAGCAAAGTGCTATCCTGCGGTAAATTATGCCCTGGACCCGTGTCCACATTGAATTGTGGACACGGGCCCAAAACGACGTCGTTTTTAAAAAAAAAACGCGTCATTTAGTTTAAAAAAAAAAAATCGTGCGCGTTTTGCCGTTAACGGCGTTAACGGCGTTTTTTTTTTTTTTTTTTTTTTTTTTTTTTTTGGATTATGAATGTACAGTTATGCCGTTATGAATGTACAGTTATGCCGTTATGAATATACAGTTATGCAATTATGAAATTATGAACACAGAGCTCTAACATTATGAACTTACAATTATGAACATATATAGTGATAAAATTATGACCATGGAGCTTTAAAATTGTGAATATAGAGCTTCGAAGATTATGAATGTACAGTTATGGAGTTATGAATGTACAGTTATAGAGTTATGAATCTACAGTTATGGAGTTATGAATCTACAGTTATGAGATTATGAATCTACAGTATGGAATTATAATGTACAGTTATTGATCGAATTATGAACAAAGAGCTCTAACATTATGAACTTACAATTATGAACATATAGTGATAAAATTATGAACATAGAGCTCTAAAATTGTGAACATAGAGCTTTGAAAATTATGAATGTACAGTTATGGAGTTATGAATGTAAAGTTATAGAGTTATGAACGTACAGTTATGGAGTTATGAATGTATAGTTATTAACATATAGTAATAAAATTATGAACATATACTCTTACAATGAAGCGGTCTGAAATTTTTTTTTTTTTTTTTTTAAAAAAAAGGAGGAGATAACAGTGCCTAACGGCACTGTTACCCGTGTCCAGCAAGCATGCTGGACACGGGTCCAACCCATAACGATTGCTATCCTGCTTACCAGATTGATTTTTCATACGAAAAGGCCTTAATCTTTTGGATGAAAGTGCATGACCACTCACGCCAAATAAGCTCGTTAAATAACCATGATTCTTGAATCAAAAAGTAATGCATTCATACTTAGAGATTATATTATTTCTTAGGTTTTTCATTTCCTTAAATTTTAAAATTGAAATGTCAAGCTAGATGGGGACAAAGTGTCGGTATAAAAGGAATATAAAAAAACAAAGAATTGAATTGTAGTATTTGATATTTGCATTCAAAAAAAAAAAGAATTGTAGTATTTGACTCTTTGATTACAGTTGACGTTCGAGAAAATTTATGAAGTTGTAAACCCAAAACCCTTCTTTGTCTTCTTCAATTCCTTCTATATAAACACTCTATCCTCCTTCTTCCCCCTTCACCAAGAAACCAAATCTCTACTTAAAACACAGTAAATCACATAATCTCCATTCTTACCATGCATAAGAGTTCGTCTTCTTCCTCATTCGGGCCGGGCGGGCTGGACTTGAGCCAGACGTTTTTCAAGCCCATTCGCAACGCCGCTCCGCCGTCCCCCACCAAGCGCCACACAAAAATCTCCGTCGTCGGAGTAGGGAACGTCGGAATGGCCATAGCCCAGACCATCCTAACTCAGGACCTATCCGACGAGCTTGCCCTCGTGGACGCCATGGCCGACAAGCTGCGCGGCGAAATGCTGGACCTGCAGCACGCCGCCGCCTTCCTCCCCCGCACGAAGATCCACGCCTCCGTCGACTACGCCGTCACGGCGCGGTCGGACCTCGTGATCGTCACCGCCGGCGCGCGGCAGGACCCCGGGGAGAGCCGGCTGGGGCTCATCGAGCGGAACTGCGCTCTGTTCAAGAAAATCATCCCGCCGCTGGTGAAGCATTCCCCGGATTGTATTCTCGTGATCGTGTCCAACCCGGTGGATATTCTGACCTACGTCGCCTGGAAGCTGTCGGGGTTCCCGGCGAACCGCGTCATTGGCTCCGGCACAAACTTGGACTCTTCCCGCTTCCGGTTCCTCATTGCTGACCACCTTGATGTTAATGCTCAGGATGTGCAGGTGAGATCGAGTTCTTCTATATATACTATTCCAGTTTTTTTATACTATATATTAGTCCAGGGCTATGAGACTATTTTTATATTTGGTCCATAGCTATTAGAATTTTCAATATTTGATTCCAGAATTATAAAATTTTTGTCACATTTGATCCCTTTTACATAATTTTTATGACAATATTTTAGACAAGTAATTTATTTAAAGGGTAAAATTGTCGTTTTCAGTCACCTGCTTGAGAAGTTTAAGAAAAAGATAATTAAAATGACAATTTTACCCTTTAAGATAAGTCACTAATGACCAAATTTCAAGCACTGACTTATATTAAAGGGCAAAATTGTCATTTGCAATCCCCTCCCGGAGAAGTTTAAGACAACAATAATAAAAAATAACAATTTTGCCCTTTAAGATTAAGTCAACTGTGATCGAAAATTAGGTTGAATGGACCAAATATGAAAAAAATTTAACTGTCCTACGATTTAGTGTAAAAAATTTAATAATTGAAGATCAAATGTGGAAATGATCTCATAGTCGTGAAACCTAAATTTAAAAAAAAAAAAAAAAAAAACCTATAGTCACTAGACTTGATTTCTTTTTTTTTTTTTTTTAGTCAGACCACGAAATGTCTTGAGCAGCTAACTATAGGAGGCACCTTTACACGTGTGCTATACTCAGACTAATCCTGATTTGCACCGTGGTTGACCCAATTAAGGGGCAAAGAGTCACAAGATTTGTTTACATCTTTATGTTTGAATTCTCGAAATAATGTTGTTATATATATGTACCTGAGTGCAGGCATATATTGTTGGGGAGCATGGGGACAGTTCAGTGGCACTGTGGTCGAGCATAAGCATAGGAGGGGTGCCAGTTCTGAGCTTCCTAGAAAGACACCAAATTGCGTACGAGAAAGAAGCCTTACACAACATCCACCGAGACGTGGTGCACAGTGCGTACGAGGTTATCAGTCTCAAAGGCTACACCTCCTGGGCCATCGGCTACTCCGTCGCCAACCTGGCTCGCTCCATACTTCGCGACCAGAGAAGGGTCCACCCGGTTTCGGTTCTGGCAAAGGGGCTCTACGGCATCGACGGCGGCGACGTGTTCCTCAGCCTGCCGGCGCAGCTGGGGAGGAGCGGCGTCTTAGGCGTCACAAACGTGCATCTCAGTGAAGAAGAAGAGCATCGGCTTCAGGAGTCGGCGAAGACCATTCTTGAAGTGCAACGCCAGCTGGATGGGAGTTTAGTTTAATTTGCAGAAGAGAATTGAAGATTGGTGTTTTTTTGCATGCATGCATGCAGATATATATATTTTCATGGCAGCGTTTGAATATTATATTATGTTACTAATTAATTGTATGTTTACATATACGTTTCAATAAAATAGTATAAAACCAATTTCTTGTGATCTAAGTATTGAAATTAAAGCCGTTTGAGAGAGAAATTGCTACCTTGCAAAATCAAGGTTTCTAAGGTGAAAGAAGAATCACTTTTATGTGGAGTAACATATTCGTTCTTGATTATTGGTCCCGGGCAAGTTAATAAACCTCTAGAAGAGGGAGGTAGGAGGACAAATTTCCTTGCAGCGGAAGTCTTTAAGCTTGCCTGATAATAACTTGTAACTAAGTTTGAAGAAATTTGTGCATGTGTACGTGTGTGTATAGAGTATGTGGTTAGAAACTATTATTGAATGCTAATTTATTAATAGTTTAGAATACTTAATAAGTGGATTATTAATGTAACTGTACTATGAAGTCAAAAACTCTTACAGTATAGCCTACACGTAAGTATTTGACCACATAGCCATCTGTTGGGAGGGCCGAATTCAACATTTTACCATTGAAACGGGACGTTAATTGATACGCAAGTATAATGAAATAAAGTTGCATCATCGTTACTAACTATAATAAGCGCTTGATTTGACAATTGACATCCAAGTAGGTTATGGGTAAAGTTATGTCTTAGATACTTAGTTATAACTTTTTGTGTAATGGTAATTGTTTGAGCCGAATTTAAATTAATTTTATAGTAATAAAATTATTAGATATTGCTCAATATAAATATATAAAAAGAATAAAACTATTATTGAGTGTTCAATAATAGAACATTATTATATGTGTGGGCAGTTGGCCCTTTGAACAACAACTCCAATTATAAATGAATTGTGAATTATGCTGTTTGTCACGGGGCCTGATAATCTCGATTTTAGTATAAACTAAAACTATAATCTAATGTACGTACAACACGGCATGAGCTCTGGTTTTTTGTCTTGACTAAATATGGTATCTGAGGTTGCATGGGGGAGACAGCTCGATTGGATCTTCTTGACAGATAATATGAAGATATGGGATGATTATATTAGTGTCGTCCTTTATTTCAAAAAATAAAAAATAATAAATATTAATTTCATCTTTATATTCCGTTACTTTAATTTATTATCACCTAAATTGATTTACCTCAACTCCTGTTATCATTTTCCAACTAGAATCACAAGATCCTCTCCGCCTAAAACCCACCTTAAAATAGTTGCTGAAATCTTTCCCTTAAATTAAAGGGTTATATGATCATCTAAGGATCTTAACGTTGTTGTTGGCTAGAATGCTTTTTTTTTTTTTTTTTTTTTTTTTTTTTTAAAGAATAGAATGTTTGATTAATAGATTATATTAATTATGGCTAATCAATTCAAGCAAGCTAATTCAATTCTGGTGTTTGATACTTTAATTTGACTCTAATTAATAATTTGGCAGTATAATTCTCTATCCAATCCTGCAAAACATCTCCATGTGTGTAATGTGTTCGGTGGGATAGATGATTATTACCATATAATTAAAATTTATTTAATTGTAATTAAGATTTTAGTCATGGGGAATTGAAGATTTTTTTTTTTTTGAATGCTACTGGCTCTATTACAATGTAGTATCTGTTCATATACTTTCTCAACCTACTAAAACACAAAGAACCAATAACGCCTCCACTGAGGCTCGAACTCACAATCTTCCAAATAGAAGTCATGAGGGAAGATAGTTGCCTATTAATTACTAAAAACACATCAGTAACCTAGCTAGTAGTTTGAGTGAGACATTAGTTCTGAAAACACATCATAACCTAGTAGTTTCGCTATGACAGTTAGTAAGCGAACTGTTAATTCAATTATAAAGTGAAAAGTTTGAACATGGTAAAGGGTATGTATAAGAATATATACCATATGTCGTATAAACTAATTAATACACCTGATAAAGGGTATGAGAATACTGAATGTCGTATGAGAAAAAACACGAACACAAATAGATTAATAAATCAAGGTGACACCGGCTCCATAAGAGGCCACCAAGGAACATTAGGAATGCAGACGCGGAATCGCAAATAATTACTCCTTTGTAACGCCATTCAGTTAACACAAATTAAAAATCGACTCTCTACACAATCACCAATGTGAAATTAATAACTAATGAAATGTAGAAACCTCCAAGATTCATAATTCCTTGCTCATCATCTCTAAGTTGCTTTTGCCAGCTTGAATTATTATTGTCATTGCTAATAAACTCACTACACATGTGATCTCTCTATTTTTCTCCATTACCCTCCAAAAGAAAATTGTTTTTAAAATGCAAAGATTCCCAAACTTTTCAACTATAAATACCATACTAAATGCATCAATCTAATCACCAAGCCTCAAGCCAAGCAAATAGCCATCCATTTCTTGAGCTAAAAAAACCCTTAGTTCAATTTGGAAAAAAAACAATGGCTAAGGTTGCATCACTTGCCCTTCTCCTTACTTTCAACATCCTCCTCTTCACAATGGTTAGCTCCACCGATGTCCCTTGCCCACCACCGCCATCTGGCGGCCACGGCCATGGCCACCACCATGGCAAGGCGAAATGCCCTAAAGATACACTTAAATTGAAGGTATGTGCCAACCTCTTGAACGACTTGGTCCACCTTGTCGTCGGCAGCCCTGCAAAGGCCCATTGCTGCCCTCTTATTGACGGTCTTGTGGACCTTGATGCCGCCGTCTGCCTTTGCACCGCCATTAAAGCTAATGTGTTGGGTATTAACCTTAATGTTCCCCTCTCCCTCAGCTTGGTCCTCAACAACTGTGGAAAGAAGGTCCCAGAAGGCTTCAAATGTGCATAAGCTAGCCAACAGCGCAGCTTATTATCTTATATTCTTTTTAGTTTCTTTGGTTTTGGTGTGTTTAGTCTTCAGCATTCTAGCTAGCTTATGTTGTCTGGCTAGTTGTCGGAGATGCTGTAATCTTGCTTCAATTCCTATTGTGTTAAATTGTTCATGTTCTTTTCATTATTCATTTGAGAGAAGCTAAGGTTTGAATCTGCTTATTGAATTGGCAATAAAAACATTCTTTATGATGACCACTCCTTCTTCTTCGAAAACCTAGTACATATTCACGTGTTTAAATCTTGTGTTTACAATAAACAAGACAATCATTATTTGGAAAGTATTACCAAAAAATGCATATTTTAAGAAAACTTTATGCTATTGTAATTCGATATATATGACATGAGAAACTTTTGATTCATCTAAAAAGGTCACAATGATTATTTATTTTTAAATTTCTTTAAGAAAATCAAGATTGATAGAGTTTTACTCCTTGATGAGAGATCTCAGTTGGAAATTTGATTTGGTCGTAATCAGTGTCACCCACCACTTTCGTTAGATGAAGGATTTTCTAGAATTATAAAGTGATTAGAAAGGCGATTACAGTTTTAAATCATTTTTGAATGGTTAAGAAATTCATATTTTCTAGCGATGTCCACTTATCTTTTTCCTTAATTTTTAGATCATTAATAATGGACATATTATAATTTTATTGAAAATAAGATATCCCTGTTTGGTAAATGGCTGTTAGTTGTTAGCTAATTGTGTTAATTAGATGGTATAACTAGTTGATAACATTAGCTGTTGTTGAAAAGTGTTTGGTAAATTAGCTTTAGCTGATAGCCGATAGCTGTTTGATATAATTTCTTTTCTTAAAAAGCTAATTGAAAAAAGTTGTTTGGAGTACCTTCTTGAATTTTAGCATTTTGGAGTTGCAAAAAGCTAATTAACCAAACACTTATATTGATATTTTAACTAAATTAAACAATTAATAGTGATCAAATAAGTCAAAATTGACTTATAGGCCAATATTTTACCAAACTTATAATGAATATATCATCTATCAAATAATGAATATATATCATTACTAACTTAGATTACAACAATCCACCAGGACTATGTGGTCTAATGGTACCCGGGTTGGACTTCCATTTGGAAGGTTGTGAGTTCAAGCTTCAGTTGAGGTGTTATTGGTTCTTTGAACTTTTCAATAGGTTGAGAAAGTATATGAACAGATACTACAATGTAATAGAGCCAGTAATATTCAAAAAAAGATAATCCCTTCTTATGGTTTTTTGAGTTTTCAGAAAAAGATAATCCCTTCTTATGGTTTTTTGAGTTTTCAGGCCCAAGGAGGTCCAACACAACCTTTGGCTGGATAGCGGCTCCTCCTCTACCGACTTGAAGGCCCTTAATGGCCGACTTCAAGACTAATCAAGATATGGAGCCGTTGGACGCCATTACTCGGTCGACCAACGGCTCTTCTAGGCTTGTAACAGCCTGACCGGATCCTGCTTTTAATGCCCTAACGGCTCCCTTTTAAACGAGCCTCTTCAATGCTCTCAACGGCTCCTTGGACCGAGTCTTTCCCTGGGCTTGGGCCTTGATCGACTCCTCGTCTCAGTCTAAGCTCTCACTGGGCTCCTCTTTAGCAGTTCTGAACCAGGCCCCTTGCCTGGGCCTGGGCCGACTCCAAGACTCAGCCCAATTGCTCTTCAGGCTCCTCGAATGCTGGCCCACTTCTTCGAACCATTTCCTTTGGGCCCCTATCTCTTGGGCCGGGGTCCTTACCCCATCACCTTCCATTTATACTCAATTAATTTCATTCACAAAATAGATTCTGTTTTTTTTTCCCTTTTTGTTTTTTGAAACACCACAAAATATAGGTTCTTAAAAGTGCAAATAGTTCAATTTCTTTTAACAAATTAAAGATCTCAAGTTCATTGTAAATGTAAGGAAGACTTATTGTGAATTTGAAACGTCATAATTGTATAACAACTCTTATACAAAATGCCAAATCAAATGCTTATCACTACGCCCTTGTATGATCAAACACTTACCATGCACTATGCCAAAAAGTTATAGTAGTATAGCGAATGAGCAATTTTTTTTTTTTTTTATACTTAAGCATCAATTAACATTTCGATGTCAGAATGTTGGATTCGCCTCTCCAAGCCTCCATCCAACAATAATTAAATTGCAAATTAGTTAGAATTTTATATAATTACTAACATGCAGAAACAAACAAATTTGTAATAATAATAGAGATATGCAGTGTTTATTCCTCTTTCTTTCCGATCTGATCCCCTTAATTACAGATAATAGATCTCCAAATTAATTACCAATATATATGTGTGAAATGTAGAAAACTCCAAAGTCCATAATTCCTTTCTCATCTCCAAGTTGCTTTTGCCAGCTTCAATTTCTATGCTAATAATAACCAACCTCACATGGGATCATTCTATTTTTCTCCATTACCATCCAAAAGAAATTGTTTTTAAAATGTAAAGATGCCCAAAGTTTTGAGCTATAAAAATACTATGCTCAATGCATCAATCTAATCACCAAGCCTAAAGCCAAGCAAATAGCCATATTTTGAGCTATAAAAAAAACCTTTTTTTTTCAATTTGGGAAAAAAATGGCTAAGGTTGCATCACTTGCCCTTTTCCTTACTTTCAACATCCTCTTCTTCACAATGGTTGTGAATCTGCTTATTCAATTGGTAATAAAAACATTATTTAATACAATTTTATCCTACCGGACCTACCCTAATACAATATGGCATAACAAATTTTATTCCTTTTTCAAGACACGTGACAAGATTTTTTTGGGTAACCAAAAGAATGATTTTATATGACACAATCCACTACTGGAAATTATGAAATTTCCGACCACCTGAAAGTGATCTTTTGTTGCTATTTGCAATCACTTTTGCTTTCAACTTAAGATCACTTTCAAGTGGTTGGAAATTTCACAATTTTCAGCAGTGATCATTTAGAAGGAAGAAAGTTGATAAGACGATGAAACTGAAAAAGAAAATTAAATAAAAATGTCGCCGGCGGGCGGCGCCTTTTAGGGCTGCAGTTGGGGCTGCAGTTGGGGCTGATCGTTGGTCGGAGTATCCGGCGTGGCTAGCGGGTCAGCGTCGTTCCCAATTCCGACGTATTGTTGCACCACCAGAACCGACACCGTGGAGGCGAAGTCCGACGACGCCATTAAATCTCCGATGGGGCCGAGCTCCGGGCACTCGCTCCAGTCCGTCAATCCCGCCGTCAGCGGCGATGTGGTCCCCTGCCCTCTTCCCACTATGAAAAGGTCGTGCATACTGTCTATTGACCTTATCGCCGCCACCGTTTCCTCGCCGTGGTTAACCACTACCTCCGTGTACGCCACGTTCTCGTCCTCCGCCGTTTTTGCCCGGAACTGGTTTACGTAGTCCTCGTCCAGCTGCTTCTCCCGGCCCACGTCCGTCACCACCGTTAGAACTCCCGAGTTTTTAGTGCTCCTTATGCTACCAGCATCCGACGACTCTACGGCGGAATCTCCGGGAACAAACCGCATAACCGTCAAACTAGTCCCAGGGTGTTCGCACATTCTCCACCCGTACGCTAACGCCTCCCGGTCGTCCGGTCCGCCGAAGAATAAAACGGCGACGTGGTGGGACACCTGGAATTAGAGACAAATATCTAAATTCAAAGCAAATAGAGCTGTCAAAATGAGCCGGCCAAGTGGGCCCGTCATATAGTGGGGACAGGCTAAAAAGCTCGCCAAAATATAGGTCTAAATGAGGTCGGCCTGTCTTGTACCCACCTTAGGCCCGTGGGCCTTGGCGGGGCCAAGGCCAACCAAATTTAAAGAATTTTAAATTTAAATAAAAAGTAATATAAAAAAATTAATAAGTGTATATTAAAATAATTTGTAATTAGTTAAACACAATAATAACTAATAAATAATAAGTCCAAATAAATAATCAAATATATAATTTATTAATCTATTAGCCAATAACAAATAATTTAAATAATGTATTAATTATTAGTACCAGGACTATGTGGTCTAATGGTATCCGGGTTGGACTTCCATTTGGAAGATTATGAGTTCAAGCCTCAGTGGAGGCGTTATTGGTTCTTTGTGTTTCAGTAGGTTGAGAAAGTATATGCACAGATACTACAATGTAATAGAGTCAGTAACTTTCAAAAAAAAAAAAAGAGTATTAATTATTAGTACATTTTTCAATATAAATAAATAAATAAATATATACTTATATAAAATAGTGTATATATATACACTAATATTAATAATGTATACATACTAAGCAGACTTAATAGGCTGGCCCTCCAGACCTGCCCCGCCAAAGCCCACCATTTTAACCAGGTTGGTTAAAAAGTCCACTAAAATACTGGTCATACAATTCAAAGTATGTGTCGCCTTTTTAGCAAGACAGAAGACTTAAACCCGTTTTGAGGGCTTTATATTATTCTTTAATTGTTAAATTAGTTAATTTAGATCATCCGAATTAATTAAATCCAACAATTATCATTTTTAATTCCCTCAAAATCTCGTACCTGGCTGGCGGCTAGCCGGGTGGAGCCGCTTAAACCTCGGTCAACGAGGATTCCGACGGAGCAAGGAGCGTTAGCCAGGACGTTCTGGTTGATGGCGCGGAACGCCGGATTGGTGGACTCCATTCCGCCGTCGACCGTTTGTTGCTTGTGAAACGGTATGATGACGATGGCCACGCGCTTATCTTCCGCGAAGCTGGAAATGTCTTCGTGCATGGTGGAGTAGGGGGAGATGACGGTGAGGGGCTGGACGGAGACGTTGCCGGCGTGCTGCTCGAAGTTCTCGAAGGCGTTTATGATGTGGTCGGACTGCGCCTGCGAGCGGTTGAGCGCGGGGCGGCCGGTTTTTCTGGTGTTGTGGACGATGAGCATGGCGGAGGCGCGGCCGGTGAGCTCGACGAGGTGGCAGACGTAGGCGCAGATGGGGGATTTCTTGGTGGGGTTTGAAGCTTCGAGGAGATTAATGATGGTCGGGACATTTCTTGGGGTGTGAACGCAGACCAAGATTCGGAATTCGCTGTCGGGTTTTGTTCTTTGGACTGTTCTTCTTTTGTAGGGTACGGATTTTCTTCCTGGCTTGTGGATTGCTGTCACCAGTGGGCTGATGATTGCCGTCATTATCAATGCCACCACTATCATTATGGCAAATGCCTCCGCATCTAGTACCTGCATGCATGCATACAACCACTTAACTAACTTTAATTCTTCCAAAAGGCTGAACCCCAACCCTAAGGACCCCCACACTTCGACCCGACAGAATATTTGGGGTCAGCACTTTGTCCCATAATTGGACTGATCCGATGCGAATAAGAATTAGTCTGGTCAGCACTTTGTCCCTTAACTGGACTGGCCCGATGCTAACAATGATTAGTCTGGTAAGAAATGGTACGGGCTTAAAGGTGTCTGCTATAGTTAGGGCCTGCTACACCTCATGGTCTAACCAAAAGAATTAACCAACCACCTCCACAGTTGAATTAGGACCTGCTCAGGACACCTGATCAAAAACTTAATCAACTTCGACAACTGTAGTGTGAAAATTATGCTCAATGTGAGCAGATTCGTGGTTCATACAGACATTTGGTTTTGGACTATTGAGTAACCCTGATTTAGGTCATTCCAAATGCTGGGTCTTGGGTTGGATTCAACTATTTGGGATAAACTTTAATTATCCAAAGGATAGAAAATGTATGTTTTTGTTAATAATGATGATTACCCGTTGGTCTTTACCAACGTTGAGAACGATCATCTCAATAAGGCCTTTGGCATTCATGAGCAGACCAAGCATAAGACCTTCATGAAAAGGCATTTTGTAGTAGAGAGCCACGAGAAGAGTTCCGGCGACTTTTCCGGCACAGGAAAGAATGATGACAAGGGCTAAAATGGACCACGTTCCGACGCCGGTTATGGCGCTCATCTCCGTCTTGAGCCCGCTGCTGGCGAAGAACAGCGGCAACAAAAGCCCAGACACAAAATCCTCCAATCTCTCTATAAGCGTCAGCCCGAGCGACCCGTTGGGAATCACTAACCCGAACACGAACGCCCCGAAAACGGAATGTGTCCCGATGGCGTCGGTTATGAATCCGGCCACCATAACGCCGGTGAGTATAAGGCAGATGTAGAATTCGCTCACCGTCTCCCCCTCCGGGGTCTGCCGGATAAGCATTTCGATCAACGGCCGGATTACGAAGACGCAGAAGCACACGAAGGCGGCGCTGGAGAGACAAACCCAGAAGGCCGCCAACGATATGGTCTCGTTCTCCGCCAAGGTGATCGCGAGCGCGAGTAGAATCCACGCGCAGACGTCGTTGATCAGCGCGGCGGACATGGCGATCTTCCCGATCTCGCTGTTCAGAAGCTTCAGCTCCGCCAAGATTCTCGCCAGAACGGGAAACGCCGTGATCGAGAGGGCCACGCCGAGGAAGAGAATAAACGTCCCTTGCTGCATCATCTGCGACCCTTTGTGAAGCGTGAAGGAGAAAGAAACGCCGATCAAGAACGGCAGAACCATCCCGGCGATCGCGATGGCCAACGCCCGTTTCCCCGTCCGGCGAATCACCGTCAGATCCATCTCCAACCCCACCAGAAAAAGAAAATAAAGAAGCCCCATATTCGCCATCGTTTCAAGAACCATCACGCTTCTCAGGGGAAACACCGACACAGCAAACGTCTGGTTTCTCCCCAGCACCGACGGCCCCAATATGATCCCGCCGAGAATCTCAGAGATCACGCGCGGCTGCCGGAAGGGTTTCAAGATCAATACAAGGATGCGCGTGGTGACCACGACCAAAGTTAACTGGAGAATGAAGAGAGGGAGAGAATAATCCAAAGGGTTGTCGCCCTGCCATATCCCGTGCGTCGTGATCATCGTCGGCGCGTAGCATACAACCGTCGGCTTCGGTAGGAGCACCTCCTTCACCACTACGTTCGCCATTATCTTCTATCTTCTTCGTCTTCCTCAAAGCTTGCCGTGTGTCGCAAGTTTCCCAATCTTCACTACGCTGCATGGATATGATGTCGCTAATTACCTCTCGTTTATATTATTCTGGCAACGTATAATCTTTACTGGATCACCTTCATTTCTTGGCCTGCAAAAAACTATGAATTGAAGCTACAAACTTGTTTCAATTCCGGAGAGAGATTTTTTTTTTTTTTTTTCTGTTTTAATTGGGGAGAGAGAGAAATAGAGAGTTAGAGATTAGGTAATTATTTCGTGTGGTTGATCGATCTGCATGCCCTAGATCTTCTATGGTCAATACTTTTCTGCACAAACCATCACAAATTAATTCTAGTTGACCTTATTTCATTTTGTCACACGTACCACTTATATGCTATATTAAAATAAAATCCAAATTAACACGTTAGGTATAGTATTTGGAAAAGAGACCAAGGTTCGAAACTCCACAGCGGTAGTGTGGAGATTATGTTCAAAGTGACTGGGCAAATATCTTGTGCGCATCAAGTGATTTACATCATCTCAGATGCTTTGTCAGGCAGCTTCAGTGTGGAGATTATGCTTAAAGTGGGCAAATCTCAAATGTTATCGTGATTTACATCATCTCAAATGTTTTGTCGGATTAGGGTTAGGGATTCAACTTTTTAGAGGAAGAATTCTTCTTTTTATTTATTTATTTATTTTTTTTTGGGTGGAAGAATCCATAATTAACCGGTTAAGTGAATCAATTATGTACAACTTAGGCTAATTTAATTACCTCGTTGTAATCATTTACCGGTTAAGATTATAACATATTTTAATTTGCAGGCTTTCCCATAAATCATGAATCCACAATCAATCAATTAGTTATGGCAAGTCAATATATACTTACATTGTGAAATTAGTTGCTTTGACATAAAAGAAGTAACAAAAATGATATAAAAGAAAATGCCACACCTTAGACAATTCTCATGAGTCATGACAATATTAGTTTTAAGTGTAACCTTTTCTATCAAGACTTAAAGTAGGGATATAGTGAGTGGAGGGCCTCATAATTGAAGGGATTTTTTTTTTTTTTTTTAGTTTTATTAAAGCTAGGTTCACATGATAACTCGTGAAATGAACTCATAATGTTATAAAAGACAACAACTTACGGCACGCGGTCCGCATAATTGAAGTGACATTTTTAAGTTTTATTAAAGCTAGGTTCACATGATAACTTCGTGGAATGAACATATTGGAGGTGTTTGATAAATAGTTGTTAGATGATTGGATTAGTGAATTTGACTAATTGATAACATTTATTTATTGTAAAAAAAATGTTTGGTAAATTAGTTGGTAGTTGATAGTTAATTACATTCAAAATGACTTTCTTAAAAAGTTGATTATTGAAAAAGCTGTTTTGAACCATTTTTTGAATTTTAGCATTTTGAAATAAACGGTTACAAAAAGCTAATTAATCAAACACTCACAACTAAGTCAAACAGCCAATAGTGGAGTCAAAATTGACTATAAGCTAACTCATATTGATTGTTTAACTAAGTCAAACAACTAATGGTGGTCAAATAAGTCAAAATTGACTGATAAGCTAATTATGTTACCAGGGTCATCGTGTTCTAAAAGACAACAACTTAGGGTACCCTAAGGCCAAGGTGTTCGTGTTATGGTACAGTTAACTTGATAATCATAAGGTTACCTATTAACTTAGGACTCTTTTCGGCACTAGGTGCATCGTATCATGTAGCCCTTTGAAAGGACGGCTTCACTCTGGATAGTTTCCCTTTGAATGACCTTATCAAGCTAAGCACCGGGTAGTCCTCTCCCACCACACTCCGACCTCTCAACAAAAGCACGCACTAAATGATATGTACTCAAGTCAAGACTCATTATATCTTTGATTTTTATGATTTAAGTCTGATCTATTAGTTATGGACAACCTAAACTGATTTGACTTCTCTTATAATCAAGTAGCCAAAACAAACATGAGGGACCAGGGAACCCTAAGAATCTGTGCAGAAGAACTGAGAACTGTACTTCCTTGTGAAAGTAAAAAGAGTCTGTCGTCTTCACGGATTGAAATATATCATGAAAGAGCCATAAGCTAAGTCACGGATTAGGTATTGAAGTTCGTGTAAAACGTAGCCTACGCTATGCTCCAAAATTCTGCAGTTTTCACCACTCTGCTTCACCTTTCAATCCTCCTCATCACCACTATATACATATACGTGTACTTCTCGTCACGGGTTGCCAAATCTCTCCTCTCTCCTCCTATATATACATTCTTCATTCAATCATTCCCATCAAACTTATATATGATTCACAATTGTTCCTAGAAGAACATCAAAATTGGACTCAAAAGTGAAAACCCTAGCCTCCATTGTTATGGGTTTCAAGTTTTCAGCTTTGTTCTTCATTTGCATGGCTTTCATGGCGGCTTTCTTGCCCCCGCCGCCGGTTTATGGCTGTGGAGGCTGCAGCCCGCCGTCTTATCCTCCTTACCACCGCCCTAGCCCGCCCAAAACTCGCCCCCATCCACCCAAAACTCCCCGCCCACATCCGCCGGTTGTAAGACCTCCGGTCATTTCACCGCCTCCCGGCGGCATCTTGCCGCCGATCGTAAACCCTCCGGTCGTTTTACCCCCTATCGGCATCCTGCCGCCGATAATCAACCCACCCGGCGGTGGATACCCACCTTATACTCCCGCTCCTGGCGGAGGTGGCGGCGGCGGCGGCGGAGGAGGAGGAGGAGGAGGGGGGACAATTATTCCTCCACCGGCGGCGAAATGCCCAATAAACGCGCTGAAATTAGGGCTGTGTGTTGACGTTCTGGGCGGATTGGTGCACGTGGGAATAGGGAATCCGGTGGAGAATGTGTGCTGCCCGGTGCTTCAAGGGCTGCTGGAGCTAGAGGCGGCGGTATGTCTGTGCACCACCATAAGAATAAAGCTTCTCAACCTCAACATATTCCTTCCACTAGCTCTGCAACTTCTCGCCACTTGTGGCCTAACTCCTCCGCCTGGATTTGTTTGTCCTCCTCTTCTTTAGTTCTCTCATATGATCTTCTCATTTTCCAGAATCCTTATTGCATGCAATGTTTTTCATTCTTCTTATCAGAGAGAGAGAGAGTGCAAAATTTAATAATGTAATCTAGGTGTAAGTTAATTGCCAATTAACAGCCTATTATGTCAATCTTAGTACTTCAATTATTATTATTATTAAGGTGTGATCACGTGTAATAGTGTTTAAATTACACAAAACATTATGTATAATAGTCTATGAATTATAAAAAATTGTATACACATACAACAATAATGTGCAATAGTCTGTAAATCCACATAACTTCATATGCATACAACAATGAAGTGTAACGGCCCGTTTGGTTCGCGAAAAATATGTGAGAGCTGAGGAAATAGAATTGAAATTTCATGGAAAGAAAATAATCAAAATATTGATTCAATTGTTTGGTTGAGTTTGGAATTGTAAGGAATATTAAGTATAAAGATAATTATACACCAACATAATAATAATAATAATAATAATAATAATAATAATAATAATAATAATAATAATAAAAAAGATGTCAAAATGGATCTAACATTATAACTTGTTAAGTTAAATCGGTCTATTTAACCAGTTTAAAAGTCAGGTTGGGCTTAGAATTAAAATTAAAGGCAGGTTCACTATTATGTTGTCCAAAATACACTATTTTTTTTTTAAAGTATCACACATGAAGTAATGGGCAAATTATTGCAGTTCACACAGAGACAAATTATATCGTGTGGGCACCGCAGTGCATAATAGATTATGTACCGAACTTCTAAATGACGTCGTTTTATTTAATGAAAAGAAACGGTACCCATTTCACGTCGTTCCGCAAAAGGTAACTCTGTTATTCAGTTTTATTTTGTATACACTGCAGTTTCATTTCAACAAAACTACAGTTTCATTTCAACACAACTACAGTTTCATTTCGATATAACTACAGTTTCATTTAATATTTATACACTAAAATATGTGAAAATGTTATTTAATTTAATTATATATATATACACACTACAGTTTCATTAAAACACAACTACATTATCATTTCGATATAACTACAGTTTCATTGCACAATATACACTCAAATATATGAAATGTTATTCAGTTTCATTTTGTATACAATGCACTTTCATTTCAACACAACTAAAGTTTCATTTCAATTCAATTGCAGTTTCATTTGATAATATAAAAAGAGTACGTGAGACAGTGTCAATTTAGATACACTGTAGTTTCAGTTGATAATTAATACACCAAACATGCGCACTTCATTAACTGTAACGACGCGCCTTTCTTTACTTAAAGAAACAACTCCGTTTTTGGACCGTCCAATAATATAATTGCTGCCACACAGCCGCAAATTATGCCGTGGAATCGTGTTCACCGAGAATGGTGAACACAAGTCAAAACGACGTCGTTTTTAGGCAAAAAAAAAAAAAAATCGCGGATGTGGAGTTAACGGCGCGTTACTGATCAAATTATGAATTTTCTGTTCATAATCTCATAACAGAAAATTCATAATCGCATAACAGAAAATTCATAATCTCACAACTGAAATTCATAATCTCATAACAGAAAATTCATAATCTTATAACAGAAAATTCATAATCTCATGGTTCCAAAGTGAATGTGTAGGCATGGTTCCAAAGTGAATGTGCAGGCATGGATTCATAATTTATGAATGTCCGTGATTTCGGACGGGAATATGTAGGCATGGTTCCAAAGTGAATGTGCATGCATGAATTCATAATTTATGAATGTCCGAAACTCCGAAATTATGAATGTAATGAAAATTCATAATCTCATAACAGAAAATTCATAATCGCATAACAGAAAATTCATAATCTCATAACTGAAAATTCATAATCTCATAACAGAAAATTCATAATCTCATGGTTCCAAAGTGAATGTGTAGGCATGGTTCCAAAGTGAATGTGTAGGCAGTCACGTAATTAATTAAAAAAAAAAAAAAAAAAAAAAAAAAAAAAAAAAAAAAAAAAGATAACGGTGCACTAACACCGTTGGAACCGTGTTCACCATGAATGGTGAACACGGTTCCATGGCATAACGTCTGCCACACAGCAGTGTGGATATGTGGCGCAATTGTAAAGAAACAATGTGGGCTAAAGAAAAACCCATCCACAAAGAATGTGGAAAAGGGGGATATTGCCATAGTTTGAGAAAAGGACCCCATTGGCCCAAGGAAGAACACAAAGCTATAAATTAAATAGGCCACTTGGAGGCCATAGACTTGTTCTTTGGGTGGAAACAAATTCTTTCTCACCTTTTCATTATTTCTATTCTCCTCAAAATTTATGTTATTAACGTGTGCTTAATTAACACGAGAACCTCCGATACGTTTAAAAAGTCAGCACATTAATTATTATTATTATTAGAGATACTCATTAATCACAATGTTTAAATCTATGCAAAAGTTTATGTTTTCCATCTAGTTGTGTTTGACTATAATCTTCCAATGAGAAAGGGAAATTGGAGTTTGAGATGGGGAAATTCGATCGTGGATAGATGACTAAGAAAAATGTTTGAATTGAGACCATCCAAGAAAATAAAACAGATCGGATTTATAGGGAAATTTGTGATGCGACAACTTGGAAATGAATCCTCACAATTGGTATTTGTTTGTATTATGTTTGAGGTTTTTTTTTGCATTATCAAATCAATCCGGCCTCACAATTGGTAATAGTTTAAAACCTAGGTTTGTTTTACCCAAAGCGCACATTTAAGTAGCGGTTGCGGATTTTCTCAATAAATCAAAATAATAATTTGAAATTAGACTGTTTGATCATTATTCCACATCACATTGATAACTCAAACAAAATTACTAATATTAGATTAATGGTGAAATATATATATTTCAGAAAGAAGAACAAAAAATACAATTCTTAAAATATAAATACTTTAGCTACACCTACTCATGTTGATTTTACTCTGGTCCCTTAGCTATAATGACATTTTCATTTTTAGTTATTACAATGTGAAGATTTGGAGAGTCAAGTTCATTATTTTACTATCAAAACATGATATTAGCTGTTATATATGTAAGTATAAGAAAATAACATTATGTCTTTACTATTAGTTATAACTTTTTATATAATGACAAATACTTGATCGTTATAGTTATCTTAATCATGGTTAATCATTTGATTTTCCTATATTATCAAATTCAATTTGAAATATCAATTGCTATCCTATGAAGAAAGATGGAGTTTGATAAATTTGAACATTTTGTTTTGAATTTGGTTATTTCAAAAAAAAAAAAAAAAAGGGGGGGGGGGGGGGGGGGGGGGGCTAAAATGGTTGAACTAATAGCCAAAAATAAAAACAAAAACATTACTATAATTGATGGAATATCTATTGTAATATAAGTTCCATACCATTATGCTAAAAGTTATATTTTTTTGAATGCTACTGGCTCTATTAGCTAAAAGTTATATATAATTAGTAACAAAAGCACAAATTTATTTCTTATTGGAATGTTACGTTCTAATATCAATTATCAGATCAAGCACTTAACTATTATTACACGTACGAAAATTTATAACAAGTCACAAAATCATATATTTTATTTCTTTACGTATATGTCATAGTCAATAATACTTTTAAATGATAAGATATTGAACTCGACACTCCAGCCTATATTACCAAACTCATTAAACAAAATTAAAGTTTTAAGTTATGTGTTATTAATAAACTCTTTGTGTTCGAACATGATGGGATTGTTGCGCTGTAAATTTAGACTAAATGCATGGTTCCTATGCAATGGATACCTCATTATTACCTTGAACACAACAAATTAAATGTAGGCAACACAATTAAGGATGTATTATTTGGTCAACCATTGTAATTAATTAAAGTGCACAAACCAACACTTTCGTGATGACATCAAATCAAATGATTTTCTTAATAAAAAATGCCAATAATGGAGTTCCTAAAAAGCCAATTTGTAATAAATTAACTAACATAACGGCCCTCTTGCCACATATGACAACACCAAGTATAATTTTGATAATGAGATTATAAGTTAAACGTACCTCTCATAGGCTATCAACTCAACCAAAAAAAAAAAAAAAAAAAAAAAAAAAAAAAACAAACAAACAAACAAGAATTCAAAATTTTATCACTACCCGTGATCAAATCCAATTTAAATTTTTAATAAAAATATACGTTATATAATAATTCAGTAGCTTGGAATTATTGGGCAGACTGCACCATGCATGTTAAAGAGTTATGGATCAAACTTTTACTTGAATAAGAGTCACATATTATTGTGAACATCATATATATATATATATATATATATATATATATATATATATATATATATATATATATATATATATATATGATGGAACGTACTGATTTCCTCAATATAAAGACAATGATTTAAAAAGACTCTTTATAACTATAGCGACCACATAATTTTACCCACATTAATCTGTTTGAAGATAGCTATCCCAACGCCTAGCCTACTAATACTCTCAATACCATATGTTATAATGGAAAGTACCGATCTCATCACTATAAAGATGATTCAAAAAGACTATTTACATGGAGTTAGCCGCCGACTTTATAATATTAGAGTAACTATATAAGTATAACAGATGCATAATTTTACCACATCGATCCCTATTTGAAGAGGGTTATTCCAAAGCCTACTCATATATACTTTCACACCATATGTTATACTCCAAGCTAAGAATAGAAGTTATATGATAGAACGTACCGATTCGATCTACTCAAAATAAAGAAGATTAAGAAAGACTCTTTATATAGAGTTATTATACTACCGTCTTTATAATACTAAACTAACTATATAATTATAACAAAAAAACACATAATTTTATTCATACCGATCTCTATTTTGAGAGAGTTATCTCACACCTCCCTATAGCTTCAATGGAAAGACCATAGTTATGGGTGTCAACCAACCTTAATTGGTTGTGCGCATGTAGTTTTGCATATAAGTCGACATGACTAATTAAGAAAACATTAATTTAGTGACGTAATATTAGGGAACAAACAATACTTTTGTTCCATGTGGCCAGGAAGCCCCTCATCCATCCATTATACGCCACGCTTATATTAAGAAAATCAAATATAATAATCCATAATTATTGGTCTCAATTGGACTTCAATCCAATATATTTTTATTTTTATTTTTTAT